GAGCAAAATGCAACCATTGGCACAGGCAACGATACAGCGGTTCGAAGGAACTACATAGGAATTCTAATTAATGAGATTGGGATCAAGATTGAAAAATGGCTGTCTTAATTGAATGATCTCATCCCAATCTAGTTTGAGTGATAGGCTGGGAGCATGTGGGAATGTTACTGTTGCCAGGGGCAACAGCAGGACGCGAGTCGGAGCTGCCTGGGCATGACACTTTGTAACTTCCAAGAATATTTTCAGATTTGTTCTCCAGGAGATTTGAATAGGATGATCGTTACTGGGTCGAGTGACTGTGGTCTTGAACTTTCTCCATTTGTAGGCTGTCTCACAGTGGATTGGTGAAGCCAATATGATATGAAAGTATGGTAAAGGCCAAGCACACAAGATTTCTGATCTTTACATAGGTTCCAAACTCAGCCCCAAAGATCAACCTAATTACTTTAACACCTGATTTTAATTATTTTCTTAACTGGGCTAATAAAACTAGGAGTTCACTTACTTTTTCACACCCCCTGTACAGGTGATCCCTGTTATAAGTCTCCACACTACATGTCGTTTCTGAAATACTCATTCAAATGTTGGCTCTGATACAGCCACTGGGGCTATCCACACATAGTATGGGCTTTTGTCAGTACCCTTGTCTTATTAACATTTATAGTATTTAAGTCCTGACTACCCCTGCTCTAACCCTCTGTCATTGTGGGTTTTCTCCCTGAAGAGCCCTGTCAGCTTCACTGTGCTTTGGTAAGCAATTCTTTGCTTTCATTTTGCTTCCTTGCCAGTTTACTCTGTACCAGCCTCCTGCTTGTCTTCTGACCATGAAGACATGAAGCCATGATCCCAGATCCTCCCTGGCTTTGTCTACTCTGAGGTTATCTGGCTACGAACCTTTCTGACTCCTCTTTAGGAAAACCCTTGAATTCTGAAGCATGATCTCCACCTTGGCCTCAGCTGACTGGGCACTAGTCTCTGCCTGGATTCCAGCGCCTGCCAGGAAATCATTCCATCTCCTTAAGTGCTTGTTTATTAGAAGTTTCACACTTTCATGCCATTAATTAATTTAGGAACTTGACAGTAAAAACCCCCAAACCCACGTCATTTTTCAATTCATCAAAACCCAGAAACATAAGCTGCTTCTTGGAATTATTTTGCTTTGGAAATGAAAAATGATTGTGAAGAGCATAATCTAATGCTGTAATGTTTTATTCTTGTGGACAATGCTGTTACACTTGTCTAGCATTAAAGTTCAGTTCTTACTACCATGCAATACGTCGCTGATTCAACCAATGGCTTAGGGTTAGATCTCTAACTTTAAATGCATGAACAGTGTGTGGAACAAGAAATCTACACTGAAGGAGCAAACGACCTTGTGGGTTTTAACGAGACCACAATTGGGAAAGGAGTTGGTGATGTTATATATTTCTATTTATTGTTTTTTTATGGGTTACTGTATAGACAGCCCAATTACATTAAGTGTATACCCATGTCAGAACTGTAAGTTGAGGATGTACCTCATTGTACTCGTTATTAGTTACAGCTAATTACTAAAGCTGATTATTTCTTATGGTTATTAATTTCCCTAAGTGATTTCATTATAAATTACACTCTTAAGTATGTAACGTGAACCTGGAATGGTCCTCTAGACTGTGTTTGATTAGCTACAAATGAAACACAACCTTAGTCTAATTTATGATCCCTAAATTGATTTAATTCCATTCATTCTTATGGAAAAATCTTCCTCTTTACATTGCATGAACAAAGTTCATGTTTTATTCTCTATGTTTACAACGTTCTTAAGGGGAATAATTCCACTTTATACATTGTTCTGCTTTGTGTCATGACTTTCTGGTTGCTTAAGCCAATGGGGACCACATGATATTGGATTAGTTACTATAAACCCTGTTAGATATTTACATTAAGGTGGTTCTTTTGATTCAAGAATTGTGCTCCTGGAGGGACTGCCTGGGGGCAGTGGTGTCCCCATCTGTTTCCCAGTGCTTTGCTTGCATGGTACATGGTCCTTGCTTGACCCAATGTTTGCTTACTCCTGCGGGGTGTGTGGTCCGCTTGCAGAAGATTCCCTTCACCTCCTGCACCTTCCTTACAGGGTCTCCAGGCCTACCATCTGGACCCAGTGTGGCGGACAGTCAGGGATGTGGCAGCATACAGAGAAGTGCATGGTAAGGTCTTCCGGAGCCTGTTTCAGGAAGAGCGGATAGGCTATGCATACAGAATAGCGGAGGTTGGTGGCAAAGACCCCAGGTCTTTCTCCCACCTGTAGCACTCAGCACTCCAATTGCTCTCGCAGCACCCGTGCCACCGTCAGCCCTGCCACAGCAGCGGCCGAAAGCCATCAAGATGGATCCATAATCCTTGACTCATAGGTCCAGTAAACCCGAACCGCTTTGGGTTCTCCGTCTACACTCATGGCTTGCTGCACTGCCTTTTCTGTCCAGCTATGCAGGTCAGCAAACACCTCAAAACTTCTTCTTAAATGGCTCCCATAGGCCTTGCCTGTGTATCATGCCACCACCAGCAATGCTGTCTGGCTGTTAATCTCGCTTGGCTTCCCTGGCTCCCAGCCTGTCTCGGTAGGAGTCTCCATGCATCCTGCCATTTCCCGTTTTCTGACTTCTATGCCCAGTCTGTACTATGCCTAATGAGGATGACACAAACAGCTGTCTAATTTCTGTCTAATTCTGCTGTAGTGGTCCTACCTCATGTTCTGTCTGTAGGGGGGGATCTGTTGTCCAAGTCCAGCATATATAGACAGCCACATTTCTGGTGTCCCTGAGCTTCAATCCTGTTGAGTGGTCCTGCCTCAATCCTTGCTGACATTTTCCATCCTGATACCAGGTGAGAGAGGCTGGACTTATCCCACCATACTCCCTTTCATACCAATACTCTCTTTCAGTTGTTTGTAGCCATCAAACAATAGTCCTTACTGTTGCATTAATTTTACAGGATATGTAATGGTACATTTATTGCTGTCCACCTCTCTCTGTAAACTAAAGGGCAATAAACCCCCTGTTGTTGAAACTAGGACTCCTGTCTCCAGCCTGCTCTGTGCTGCCATCCAGCTGCTGAAACCAGGGTGTCGGGCCGTTTGCTCCATTGGTGTGAATGGATTAGTACTGTACATTTCAGCAGCTGAAATTGTGACATTGAACATCACCATTCAAATACACAGGTAATTGTTTTATGCTGCTTTGTTAAGAAAAAAAAAGTTGTAAAAATCGACTGGCAAATTTTTCATAACCAAATATTGTGTGGTGGTGCCGAAAACTGCTATAATGTCCCATTTTTTTCAAATGGATTTTTAAAAGTACAGATTTGGAAAATAGCAGTTCTTAGGACTAAGAATTAATGTGGGGTAATAAACTTGAAATATGTGTATTTTTTCGCTATTAGATGGTGGCACAGAGCTAAGCATTGATGTCTCACAGCTCGGGGGCTCTGGGTTCAATTCCTGTGTGCTCTCCTCCTGTGTTTGTGTGGGTTTCGTCCAGGTTCTCTGGTTTCCTCCCACAGTTCAAAGACATACTGGTAGGTTAATTGGCTTCTGGGAAAATTGGCCCTGGTGGGTCTGTGTGTGCCCTGTGATGGACCTGTAACCCTGTATTAATTAAAACAGTATGAAGATACTGTATATGGATGGAATCATAATGCTAGTCTATCTTTTAAGACATGCAACAAAAACAAACAAAAAGTCCTTAAAATGTGTATCTTGATGTATATTACTGTATGTTGTTGAAAATTGATTTAATAATTGTATTATCAAACAAGACACATACCAAATAATGTCCTATTTCAAACCAGTTGCTGTTTTAAAGCTCCTTGCAGGACCATTTGTGTTTTATTTGTCATTTACCCAGCAAGTGCAGCAGTCTCAGAATAGCACACACTAACCAGCAGACAAGGTGGAGACATTAAGAAATTACATAGTCAATTACATTATAGGGGGAATTCAGCATGTCTGGGAAGTGCATTAATCTTTAAGGAGTTTTCAGAATGTGTCAATGGATTTACTCAGACTTAAAGAGCTACAAGAAGTCAACGCATCTGCTTAGTGTTTCTGTCAAAATACTGGCAACTCCTCAAGCCCAACGTCACTTGTCACCATACTGACGCATTGGCTTAGATTTTCTAGTTCAGGACTAAGAGAGGAACCGACTAATTTTTGCCAGCATCATAAGCATCCTCTTTTAATGTTTCCCACCAAAGAATTTACTAGGTCTTGTCTGGCTCCTGACAGGAGGAGAAAACACGGATCAGGGTGGGACACTTGCTACAGTAGCTAAATAGGAATGGATTAATAAAACCAGCCACCAAGGGGATCTTTACCATTTAAGTGATCCTATCAGTTATTTTCAAATTACTCGCTATTCTTTACACAATATTTTGTATTTCAGCTGCAAGTATCCCTGGTATGGATCAGAGGTTAATCAAATGTTAAAGTGCAATGCAAAATCCTTTGACCAAAACTACTTTTGTTGTAGACTTTACTTTGCTAAACCTTACCCAAGGATAAACCTATGAAAAAGCTGTATTTTATCACATAAACTAATGTTTATATTAGGTGTTAAAACCCCTTAGATAAGCACAAAATGCATATAAATTAAGCTACAGTATTACAATAACAAAAATAAAATAGAAAGACCACATTCACATAGTGGACTATATTTACAAATATTTAAGAAAACACCTAAAATAACATTAGGTTGTCTTTAAGTGGTCATTAATAAGGTTTAGTGAAACCACTGGTAAAGTGAACTATTTAAAAAAGAAACTTCAAACTATGACACCCTTTTTTTTTTGGCAGAGATCTGAAAACCAATTGGAGTGACCAGTGGACAGATTATGTTTAATTCCATTTTGTATGGAGCAACCTCACAGTCATCGCGGCAGACATCCTAACGCAGCGCCCAACTTCCATTCATCTGATCGCCTGCAGCTGAGCGAGAGGAGAAAGTGAGATGCGCTGGGAGGTAACCTTGACGTCACCGGTAGAAGGATGGGAGCCCGTCTGTGCACTTTGCTATAGTGTAGACGGGAGAGATGGCGGCTAATTGCCTATGAATAAGCAAAAAAGGATGCTAGACTGATAAAAGGGGAAGGACGCTACGAGGGGCTTAACAGCGCTCCTTTTTTAATATAAAACCTAGTTTGGGAGTTATTTCCATCTTTTTTTTCTATCTGGTCGCGGGGTGGATTTTATAAGGGGGTGGGCGCAGCGTTCTTTACATCTGTATCCCCCGTCTACAACCTCTCCATCCGTCTGTGTGCGAGGAGGCTATGGCTGCGGAGGGTTTAGTGGAAAGTGCGGATCACTACAAAGCGGAGATCGAGCGCCTGACCCGGGAGCTCTCGGAAACCACCCAGGAGAAGATCAGGGCTGCTGAATGCGGGCTGGTGGTGCTAGACGAGAACCAGACCCTGAAGCAGCAATACACGGACTTGGAAGCTGAATATGAAACACTCAAACAGGAGCTGGAACAGCTCAAAGAGGTAACTGCCGTACAGGTAACTTAATTCTGTACAGGAGCCGGATTGTAAGTTGGCAAGGGATGCAGCAGTGCATTACAATGAATGTGTCGGCCGACTGCATCGTCCTTCATCGAGCAGAGATGCGGGATTTGGTGTGTTGGGCATCGCATCCGCGATGAGTTGGTGAAAGTGTGGAGATTAAGCGGCCCGCAGGTGATGTAAAAGAGATCAAGGCCAGATTCTGAGTCTCCTAAAAGATGCTGAGATTGACGGTTGCAGCTTTGATTGCCTAGTTTACGCTAATCTGTGCTTGACCTGCTAGCGTGCACGGTCTACCTGCTTGTTTAATTTAAAGCGATGGAACGCGAGATATAATGTGTGCTGCAATAAATTATCAATTCCCCTAAACATGGCACTACTGTGCTACAGTAAATATCTTCCAGTGTGTATGCCAGTTTTATCTTTCACTAGACGTCGTGTGGTCTGACTCCGGACTGGTCCGTGGGAGTGTCAGCTGTTGAAATAAAAAAAAAAGCTTAAATTAAGCAGTACATGTATGTAACGTTTATGTTATATATGTAAAATAACACATTAAAATGACTGTTAAAGATTGTTAATCTTTTGTTGGTGGCTTCTTACTGGTCACTTCATGAAGACCACTTCAGAGTGAAACTAGTCTAAATAAAACACGTTCCCTGAAATTGTGGAAAAAAAAACTATAATAATATCATATCATATACAGGTAGTTCACATGATAATCACGTTGTTCATGAAAAATACCGAAACAAAATTGACTAATATTTTAATTTTTTGTTTTGTTGATATCCTGTAATTTGGAGAAATATTATTAGAAAGGCAAATGCTAAACAAATAACTTAAGTTTTTTCCCCCCATTGCTTTAACCCAGTGCTTTATAATTCAGGCTTCATGTAACAGTTATGGAAAAACAAATCTGAAACCCCTCCCTGTTCCCTCCATTGTCTAATTTCACTTGCAGTGAAACGTCAGACCCCTTTGGAGCAAGGATATTTGAGACCAGTGTTTTCTTGAAACAAAGGCTGTGTCTCTTGAAATGGAAAATAGAGTGAAGCAGCAATTTGGTGCTGGTTTGGCTTTTTAACTAAATCTTTGTTGCGGAGTTGGACAAACTTGACTCTTCTCCAGTGTCCACTAAACTATATTAGATCCAAAGCTTAAATGCAGGCTATTTTTTTACATTGCGAGAATTCAACACTGCAGCCTAAGTGTGGTTTAAATCAAAACTTTGATCCACCTAGAAAAATCTCTTGTCAGTTAGGAGCTTATAGCTTCTTCCCAATGGAAACCTCCATCAGCTACTGGACTACAGATTTGTTACTGGCTAGTAGATCTAAGTTTTCATATATTCCAAGTCATAGTGCCATAGAGGACAGTTACTATTTCACTGAAAAATCTTGTATGGATTCTAAAAATGTCTTTCATTATATGAACATTTTCAAAACAGTTTATATTACTGTTTACTAATGGGCTAGGAGGGAGGCAAAATCTTGAATATAACCCTGGGTGGTGTTACATGTCTCTCTGATGTAATGTATAAGTAAGACTGATCTGTAGGTTTTCAGTTGTTTAAAATGGCATTAATTAGGTTTATCCGAACTTGCTGGATCATGCTGGTCTAATACCCATTTTGTAATTAACACTGAGGGAAAAAATGATAGTTTGGGCCCAGAGATAACAGGCAATTGTCAGTCCACAAGGACAGTTACCTTGCTTGAAGGATGCAAAGAATGCATTGTAAATTATTCATGTACTGTACGGTTTTACATTTCACAGTGCTGACCTGTGTCGACACTCTGCTATGGCAGGTTATTGCAAGAATATGTGGTTACCTAGGAAAGAAATAGTTCTTTCTTCCTAATGTGACAAGTCGGTAGAGTCTTGAGTAAATTGGGACATTCCCTGAGACACAAATTGAATACCAACTAGACAATCTCAAAGATGTGAATTTGCTTTAGAGAGATCATCTAAAGGGCAGTGTAAACCATTAATGACAGCTTTTTGTCAATAAATGCAGACTATCATTTTCATCCAGATTTATTTATGTTAAAAGCACAGTATAGTGTATTAACAATACTGTGTTGCTTGTAGGATGATGTAAACACTTGTTTCAGTAAAGCAACTGCATTAGAGCTTAACCTACTGTTTGAGATCAGAAATGTAACTCTAGACAGGTTATTTATGGTGCCACAGGATGGTCTCAGTGGAGGTTTTTGTTGTGTGCTCTGTGTGCATTGCAGAATGACTTATAGTCCTCTCTAAAAGTACAGTTTTGTAGAATGTGCAAGATCTAAAAGTTTCCCATTCATTAATGGGAATATGATTTAAAAGTTTTTATTAATATTGCTTCATATATTGAACTCTAAAGTTATATATAGATATATAGCCGTTCATTTTGCTGAAAAAGAAGTTTTAACAATAAGGCTGTGTTGCAAGAGCCTATTGTATCCATTTTTCTCTTTTTCTAACTCTTTCCTACATACAATATTCTTTGTTAAATTACAATACTTCTAAAATGGACATTGGGAACAGAATCTTGATGTTCCTTATCATGAACGAAAGCTGTCATTAAGTTTACTGGTAAAAAGTAAGAATACAAGGCAGAATACTTTCGCACGAAACGTATATGCATGCGTCCTCTCATCCTAATTAGAATCAGTGACTTTTGTTAAACCAGGAAGGTAACAATAAAATATCCCAAATAAAAAAAAGATCCATGACTAATTAAAGAAGAATGTACTCTTGGGACAGGAGTTTTTTTATTGTAGCTTAATCTGTACTTCGTTGAACTCTGATTTATTTGCTTAGTTTTAGTTCGCCCATTGTCTCTATTCATTTTCTGCTGAAAGTTCTCTAAAAAAAAAACCTTTGGGACCGTATCTGTATATCCCTCGAACTGATTAATAAGTGGAAAATTACTTTACCAGAATCAGCTTCCTAGGTATTGCAAATCGCATGCCTACGCAAAGAAACTGGCAAGAATAGAAGGAGTATTTGCTCTACAAATGACATTATGTAATTATAGCCTTGCAAGGGCTCAGCTCTCTTGTCATGATAAATAATGAGGAAGAAAAAATAAAACAAAACCACACTTGTACTCTACTGTACATATACAAACAGTGTATTGAATAACTACAAAAGAATGCAGCAGAAGAAAGACAACAGTTACGTCACAGGTCACAAATGTCTCCACCCCACATGAAATACCTCGTTTTGCATAGCATGGTCTCAGAACTCTGTGGCGTAGTGGTCTTTTCACTGTTCAGTTTTGAGAAATCAGTGGGGAGAAGCTGACACTGCATCACCTTTTTACTGATAAAGTTGGCATGGACTAATGAGGGTAGTATGCAGAGCAGCCAAGTACTGTATCATAACTGTGGTGGAGTTATACAGGGGGATGTAGAGGGAATTTCTGCAGGGAGGATCCTGGACCGTAACAATGAAAACACACAGCAGGGTTGAGCATGATGACATCTGCAATTCGTGAGAGACGGCACCTCACAATTTGCAGCTTCAGTGACCATGTTCATAATCATTTGGTGTAAAAAAATGCCAGAGCTCTCTCTGAGCAATCACTGTAGATGGATTCATTGCCGCTTGCCTTGTAATAAAACAGCTTTGTTTTTTTAGAGTCCAGGATTGCAATAGTGGGTAAATTCTTCCCAATTAAAATAAAATCAGACATGATTTTAACTATATTAAATAATTAACCAGTCCCTAATCAATACTATTAAGTTCTAGCAAGGAACTAACACATCATGTTGAATTGTAGGGCTGTATTGCAGCCAAGGTATTGTTATGCCTGTGGCTCAGATTATAGAAGCAGTTAAAAAAATATTTTGTTACATAGCAGAAAAATAATTTGCTGTCTCATTTGCTGTATTTAAAACATCAATTTAGTATAATCTCCTCTGGAAGTATTTTTTGTTCTCTTAAGTGGGTTAACAGTGGCACAAAGGTTAATATTCCTGCTTCACAGCGCTGGGGCCCTGGGTTCAATTCCTGGGGTGCTATCAGTAAGAGTTTTGTACAGTAGGTTCTCCCCCTCTTCACGTGACTTTCCTCTGGGCCCTCCGGTTTCCTCCCATGGTCTAAAAAAATGCTGGTAGATTAATTGGCTCCTGTAAAATTGTTTATGGGGTGAGTACGAGAGTGTTTTTATCTGTGTGTCCATTGCTAGTCAGGTTAGGCTCTGGCTTCCTCCTACAGTATATAGGCTCTGGCCTATATGATATGATGATGGATATGATATAATGCCTTGGTTCTCAAACTAAGGTAAGCGCCCCCAGGTGGTACGCCACATGACCCTGGAAATTTGTTGTGTGCATTGAAAAATTGGGGTGGGTTTTCATATTTTCTATTTTAATAAAATGAGTTTATGTGTCAAATACGTAGCCTACGTGCTACAATACAGCGCGCGCTAATACTTGAGTGGACACAAGAGCTACTATGTAATTCTATACCATTGTATAGGAATGGGTGCTACGAACCTAAGTGGACAATTGTATTTTTAAAAAGTTATCTCCCGCAAATAGGAAGGTAGGAGAATTCGCGTGATTGTGGAACAATGCCAATCTTGTAAGCACAGGAAAGCATAGAAATGCGTACTACGAACGTGAGTGACCAGTTGTATTTAAAAAAAGTTATCTTCAGCAAATAGGGAAGTTGGAGAATGTGCATGGTTTTGGAACACTGCCAATCTTGTGAACACAGGAAAGCGTGATAGATAGCATAAAAATATTTAAGAACTGTTCTAAGTAAATTTGAGAAAAATACACTGAGCGCCTCTGTTTCGCTCACATGCGCGTGAAATAAAAACGTCTTTTAACTTCTGAGACGCCTGAAACTCCTGAAACGCGAACGGGGAAAGATGTAAGCTTGTGGATTGCTAAAGCAGGTAAGCCCCACAGTATTGGTGAAGAACTTTGTTGACGGATGGCAAAAGAGCTGTATTATGTGTGAAGAAGAAGCTGCTAAACAACTCGACCTGTTGCCCCCTC